GTAACGTCGATTGGAAGCTGCCTCCGAGAACCGTAGTAGACGGCTACCGTTCTGGTGGATCAAGACACGAAAGTTGTCCCTATGTTTGTCGCATTCTTTGCAATTCAGTATATATGGGGCAATTGAACTTGATGGATGTTTGGACCCGTCAGACGCCAAATTCATTCCGTGCATTCTCTGCTATCCTGGTCGACAATCGTTTCTCATTTCTTCCGACGTACTCAGTACCGCAAGGACATTGAAGTAGGTAAACACAGGTGGAGGTTACTGAAGAGCCAGGTTTGTCTAGATTCTGTGAGCATTCGGTTGGTGTGGTACAGTATTATAGGAACGCAAGAGTATACGTTCTTTCAATCGTCTGCTTCAACCTGCGCTGTATCTGCCTATTGTTTTGTTCATCTTTAAACGGTATATAAACAAAAACAGCTATTTTCGAGACGGTGTCGATTTGTTTTAATTTATTCAGCGGCGCAATAAAGGTTTTAGTGTATGCATTCCCGTGGATATTCGGGGAATGCAGCGAATGTACGTACGCAGCTGATGAGAAATAGTTGAATTCAATACATTCTGTGATCGTGAGGCTTCTTCTTGCTCTCATGAAACTTTTATATTTGTTTGATTTAGCTCATGCGAATTTACGCTAACTGTGGTCCGTTTATTGTTCTTATTGTGTAACTTCAGTCAGTTTGCTTGTTAGTAGTCACTTGTCTATTGCCTCCCTAGTGGGTCTCGAATCGTTAACTTTCAGGTCAGGAAGCGGTACACTTGTTTTATGAGGTTCTACTCACATTTAGGAGTGTTATGGTTTACAACTGACTGATTTGTGTTCATACATGCCTGTGGTCAAATTGATTGATCGATCGATCGGTTGATCAATTGACTGACTATTTGAATTCTGACTTGACGACATTCGCATGTAGTGAACCGTGTGAGCCGGACTCTGCCTGCTTGCCTGCCTGCCTGCTTGCCTGCCTGCCTGCTTGCCTGCCTGCCTGCTTGCCTTCTTACACGCTGATCGTTCCTACTTGTTCCCCGATTTGTGAACCGGCTACATATTTGCCGTTTACAATAAACTTACTGCTTCATTCGTTGTGTGCTCATTTGAGGCACAACGGGGAGTAGTACGCAAACGGATAGGGTTGGCGGTTGCGTCCCACGGTCAGAAATGAATAACACCTCTTAGAGCGAAATGCTGTGTTCAAAATGATAACTACGGACCGTTCCATTCATTTTCCTTAATGCTGCCGCGAATCATGATGACATTTAAAATGAGACATCTTGTTATGTATACGCCAAATTATGCATACCCTAACTGTGGTTTGTAATTGACAATTCTCTTCGGGCCAGCACGGGTCTTCTGGGATTATCTATTTATACNTATACTTTCATGTACGTCTGAATCCAGACTGTGCCAAACAAGTCATGGTATAATAATCTTCATGAAAAGAAAGACGCTCCATGATTTGCGTGTGGACGGAATACTCCCAGGTTGCCCAGGCCAGAGAAGGTGAAATTTCTTGAGGAATCCACAACCCTAGTCTTCGGCTAGCCAAAGCCTGACCCGCAAGGCAGCAGGGCTGTATGTGAAAACCGCAATCCATTGGGGGCCGGTGTCCAGTTCATCGGATCATACGTCCTGTGNGGAGTCAAACGTCCAAGGTGCCCCACTCACCTCAATGCCCAATCGAGTCGGTAATCACTGCCACAAACGTGAAGCTGTGGGAGTGGTTTGTATGCCTCCTCTTGGTTGGTTTGAAATGAGGGTTTTTGATCAACGTCCCTAGGTGAACTACTAGTGGTCTATCGACCCGGTCATAGCTCCGGATGTCGGTTTTGCGTCTTCTAAGTTTGGTTGGAAAACACCGCCATGAGAAGGCAGTGAGTAGGGCTTCCTCAGCTGTAGCTATTCGAGACGCCTGATCGCATGGGAGCATCTCGCGAGGTGCAAGGAAAGGGTGACCAGCCGCAACCCTAGACACCCACCACCGACCATACTGAGGTTTTTGGAGGCCGTCTTCTGGGATTATAACACTTTCAACTCAGTTGCATAGTGGACCTGAATGCATGACCATGTGAACAACTTTTGTCCCAAGCAGATTATGAGAAATATGAGCGATCAACAATTTCCATTTTAAATATTTCCATGATTGCATTGAGTCGGCGAGCGAACAGAGGTTTTCGGATATTCCTACTCAAACTCTTACATACCATATAGTGGAAAAGATTGAGTCAATGGCTATCATTATGTAAGAAGCTTTTCACTATATGATAGGTAAGAGCATGACTAGAAATATCCGGAACCCATTGTTCGCTCACCGACTCCTTTTCTCAACTTCCCTTTGATTAATATTCATATGCACAAGTGTTATTTCATTTCGGCTCCTATAAATGTATTCCACGGATCATTGTCCAATGAAGTGAGTAGATTTCTTTTTTTTTTTGTTATTTTGACCGGTAGATGCATCCCACATCGATTCTGTCACGACAGATGTTTAAGTGCAGAGTTTTTCCATCGATAGAAAAAAACACGAAATCATTGGCAGGTACGNAAGGGAAGCAATATGAGACACCATCACCAATTCACATCTACTTAGACATATGAAATGAATGAAGTTACAGTTGCCAGACTCCAAGTTTTACAGCCAGTCAATTTTTATTTTTGTTAGCAGATATATATATATATATATTACATATTACATATTTATATATGGTGCAGAAGTATTACTTCCCCACCTACTATGTCTCAGCTCTACGAGTGTGATAACTGTATTAAGTAACCTCTGCTTGACCGGTCAACCGTTCTTCGCCCAAACTCGTCCAATTCGTCGATCTCTCATACCAAAGTTGATCAGTTTATCCTACAGTCCAGAAAAACATTTGTTATCAACCCATGATTCAGTCCTCGTTGATTCATCTTTCTTTCCATTTCCGATATTGCATACGATTTTTTTGACGTGATTGAGCAACATTTTGTTTTGGAATCAAAATCAAAGTATTATTATGGGAAATACAAACGTTTGCTTTTCTGGTCCCATAGTTTAGCACAAATGGATCCGTTTTACGATTCATAGATAGACGAAGAATATCACAATTTATCCTTGATTTGTGCACTGCTACGAATGTTAAAATTTGAGACTTGTCAAAGTTTCACCCAGTTTGTGCTTGAAGGAATCAACTGTGGGCGCGAGAACAATGTGGGTGGTAGAGAATTCCAAATAATGCATACTCTATAGTCGACATCTTTTGAGCACCAATTTGAGTGACTGCCCCCTCCGGTGAGTGTTGGACGACAAGGTCAATAGTGACCAACAGGAGTGATCAGGGTTTTGCATTATTTGATAGACCAAAATCAAGTGTCCTCGAATTCGGTGATACTGTGTGGAGTACAGCCTCAATGATTTCAGTCTTTCCACATCAGTCTTGGAATGAAATCCCTTGACCAAATTTGGTGGTCATTCTTTGTTGATGTTCCAGAAACTTACGCTCGCGTTTCAGCCATGCATTCCACGCTTGAATTGCCTACTCTATGTGGGGTCGAATTTAGGCTCATAACAACCGTGGAAACAGTGTAGATTCTAATTTGTCAATTACTCGGTTTATCAAACCAAAATGTCTTACAGCGATGGACGAAGCCTACTACGTCAATTATCAGAAAGATTTATTTGCTCTCAATTGCGTAAGATTGGCATGCGGTTCGAACCTATCTACCATCGCTCATCACGGAAAGGAAACAGGTTCACTGCCGCTCGCGTTTGGCCTGTGTTGCTCTTGTAGGACTCATTGTTCCAAACGCACTGGGAATAAAGTGCCTGTTTCATTTTGAAACCATTGTTCCCGTAAACACAAGTATCTTCACCCGAAACCTCTGTTGTATCTGTAGAATTGTACTTATTTTAGATTGAATTAGTTCGCTTTGAGTTCACTTAGGCATCCGCAAAATATTTTGGGGTTCGCTAAGAATCAAATTTGAGTATCGTATTCTTTCAAGGTCCAAATTAGTCTAGTGGGCACATTGTAAAAGCCGTGCAGGCATAAAATGTGAAAGTAAGTGCGGTCACGTGCCAACTCACTTGACTGGCATTCCTAGTTGACCGTGGCTGGGTCACATGCAATGGTCCTTGATGTACCTAATGCTATGTGATTTGTTTGGCATACAGTCTGGACTCGGACGCCTATGTGAGTGTCCAGCCCGTTTGCTTGTACCAATATCCCCCACCGACAATGGACTTGCACTATTCTTTCTGATCAACTTCTCAATTCATTCTAGCCCCAATTCAATTAAGACCCAGTAGTTATCTGTGATCATTTCGCACAACACAAATTTTCCGTTTATTGACAACATCAGGCATAAGTCAAAATTACAACAATAAGACAGTATTCATTGTATCGGAGGGGGGATTGGTCTCCATCGGTCGATTAAGGATGTGATCGCGTCGCTCACGGAAGATACATTTGCATAATCTCATTTCAGATCTGGCCTATTTATACGCATCATGTTCTGGCTCAGGTTGCTTCGCACATACACTCCTATTATTGGTCACCGATATCACCAACTCAATTCCGAGTCACGTGGTCGAAAATTGTGAACGTATAAGTGTGCTTACCTCTCTCTCTCTGCCTTTGTGTGTATGCGTGCATGCCATTCACAACATTATCTTCCATGCTTTCAACACACACCCACATCCACTAGTTGGGATGTGTCCCCGTACGCACATAAACTTATCACATTGCTCTCTCTGCGCGCTTCAAATCCGAGCAAGACGTAAAGCATGTGGCCTCTCTTCAAAACCGGCCGTGGTGTTCCCGTGTGTTGCATTTTCCCCCCTAACCACGTCATAAAGATATTCAACTTATCCGCAGAGATTTGCAAACGATTACAATTGAATGGGTGGAGTCAGTAAAATCATACGCCATGGCGATCGTTGGCCATGCCCCCGAATCGGTTGGTTTGTGTGCTCTAAATACGCTTTAACAGCTCACTGGATCTATTGCAACTTCGAAGCGAGAAATGCTATCGTATAATTTGATCATCCTTGCGGTTCATTGGCAAGAGAGGAACTAGGGTTGAGGGTCAAGGAACCGGTAAGATTAAGGAATTCAGTACGGCGAAAGAGGTGATACTCCGCTCTAAAACAGCAGTGCGTATTCTGGACCAAACTAACTGTGGCCTCCATATAAGGTTTCATTAGAGTTGTATGTATCGCTCCATATCATATCCGTATTTACCCTAAACCCTGCAAGACACGGACTCGTTTTGCGGGACATAATTTGATCACCATCGATGCTTATGTAGTGAAACTGAAGTTGAATAATGCAACTAAGATTTTGCAAAACCTGGCTAAGCTATCATGTATTTTCTCGATGCTTAGACGGAAAAGATCTCTCTCTCCCTCTTTGACCGTCTGGTGGTTCGAATAATTGTGTAATTTATGTCCGGGCTACATTCAGGGTTCCTGCAGTGAGAAACACTTTTCTGGCACATACGCCCGTTTTGAAAGGTGAGTTCCCATACCTACCTGCTCATTAAGCACCTGCAGTTGGCTACTTTTGGCCACTCAATCAGTGCTATTCTCCGACATCATGCTCACGTTTACATTCAAGACAGTGATCCGTGAAGTATTGTTCAGCGTATTCTGCTGTTCTGTGATAGCGAAGCTTTATTTCATGACAAGTGATCACAGAAATGGGGAACGTTGGTAGTGGTGGATCGGTTTGAACTCGCGATTTCCGGGTGACTAATTTGAACACCGTCACGTTTACCATAGAACAACGACTATTGTGTTCTTAGACATTACAGCGGCCCTCGATTCTGTCGATACGACCGCACTATCGAGTTGTTTTTTTTGAAGAACGGAGTACCTGAGAAATGTGAGTCAATCCTCAAGGAGTTGTATCACCATACCTCAGGTTGGGCTAGGGCCTATGGCCAGCTTTCACCACTCTTCGCCGTCTCCAGTGAAGTTCGACAAGGCTGCTCTATATCCCCTTTTCTGCAGGACGCTTTGTCCGGTTTACCAAAAGGGGAGTCGACTCCTCCCAGGGAACAGAATTCTTGACTTAGAATATGCCGATGACATCGCTTTGTTGGGTGACAATGCACAGGCAGTCCAACAAGCTTTACATCACTTGGCGATAGAGGTATGGTATATGCTTTGCACCATCAAAGTGCAAAGTGCTGGTTCAAGACTGGCAGAAGCCTGCACTGACCCTCTGTGGTGATCAGCTGGAAATGGTCGGGAGCTTTAAGTACCTCAGGAGCTTATTCACAGCTGGAGGTGGGATTTGGGAAGAGATCACATCACGAATAGTGAAATCTGAAGCAACTTTCGCCAACCCATGACACCTGTGGCGCCACCGTGACATCCGACTGTCTCTTAAGGGAAGGGTGTACATCGCCGCGGTATATAGTGTTCTGCTTTACGGTTGCGAGACCTAGCCCCTCCGCGCTGAGGATTCTAATCTACTTTCAGTATTCAACCACTGATTTCTCTGAAGCATTGCTCGTGTCTGGTGGGAACATGGGGTGAGCAATGACGAGGTTCATTATCGTTAGCTGGGTGCTGATAGTCGTTCTCTAACGAAAGAAACCGATGGCTCGGTCATGTTTTGCGTATGCCTGCCCATCGACTACCTCACAGTACTCTCTTTGCACATGCTGAGCCAGGTTGGAAGAAGCTTCGCGGCGGTCAGACGATGACATGGCGTAGAGGCGTGAAAAATTTAGCCTCGGCGTTGGCTTTGGTTGTTGCAGCTCGCCTCCCAGCCTGGAGCCCAAGGGATGCTGATTGTCGATGGTTAGAGACGCTAGGAGATATGGCCCAGAATAGATGTCAGTGGCGCGATTGCTGTACCGTTTGTTTGGCGAAACCCCCTTCCCGATAACACAAAAAAACCTTTAAACATTGTACAGTATAACTATCACATGTATATATGCCTAAACATCTACAGTGTTCAACAAAAATGTATTTCTTCCCTGAACATGGTCATGCGGTTTTCCAACCGTTGGTTCGAAACAGTTCAGCTGTCCAAAGCAAGCAGTACAACCTGGGATTACCCAGGATGACACGAAAATGTGTAGAACAGGGATTTGGATGCACTGATGAGAATTTTTCAATACCCGACCTTCTGATCTGTGTTTCAGTGATGCACATTGTTTGAACAGCACAAACGTCCGCCCATAAAAGTCTGTTTATCACTGCTCGTTTCTGTTGTGTGTGGTCGCCTGCTTGACGAGGTAAGAGAGTAAGGTTATCGTTTTGATTGATCGATCACACTCAGCATCATATCGTCAGATCTATTGTTTTCCTCTTATTCTCTTCTGACACCCGCATTTTGTCGCTCTGGTGTGCACTAATCAAATTACTTATATGTTTGCTGGACGAATTTGAATTCTATTCTTTTACCAGATCAACCCGTAGATGGTCTGTAAACTCCTGAGCTAGAAACCTGACGTAATTTGTTGCGCTGGATGACAATTTACCAGCTCGATTGAGTTGAACAAAACGTTTGCAGTGTACAGTACCAGACACGTACATACAGTTATCAGTGTGCTTCCGGATTTATTGTATGTAGCTCAGGTGTAAGGGTTTGAAGTCCTAAACCGAAGGTTCGCGGTTCGAATCCTGACACGGGCACGAAAAATTACGCACTTCTGACGAGTCTGAAACAGGACAAAACAGCAGCTCAGTACTCGTTGTCGTTAATCACAAACATTTCCGTCGCAGATTATGATTCACATAGTAAGTGATTTGACTCAATGTTAGTAGGTTGAATTCATTTCAAGTGAAACCGTTGTAACTTTAGAGAAATTTAACCAATCGCATTCGTGGAAACCCCATAAAGTGGTTAGTGCTTCCGCCGTCACACGTCACCCTCTGGACCAGGTCTGTCTAAAACCCATCCAGTCTGAATTAACTCGTTTCTCCATAGACAAACAAAAGTAATTTTTGAGTGAGTTTCCAACCAAGGATGATAATGAACCCAATACTAATTGAACTCCGTATGGTGATCCATGCCACGTGATGATTCCTACCCTGGAGCGGAGCGTTACAGTTTCTGGACGCGTGTGCGCGTCACGGCTTCTGACTACACGCCATTGATGGATCGTGCCAGCCAATCAGAGACAGTGCAGACAGAAGCAGTATTACAATCCGATTGGTGGAAGCCCAGATAATCAATAATCTTCTTTTGTACATATTATTTAATCGCTTTCATTTCTTCCAATAAACGAACTACGAGTTGCCGGTCTTGTGGCCTTTTCCTTGCGTCTCGTTCACGTAGGATATTACGATCTCGTGCCATTGCGGTTCAGGGATTCCGTAATCCAGTCCGTGATAGCTGATCCTAGATTCGCGACCTGTGATTCCTATTGCGCGGTTCGTGTTCGGAATTTCGTACGTACTAATACTACTACTACTTTTATGATCATTATACTCTGTCTACTGGGTAAGACAGTAAACCACTTCAAGATGGATCAATAGTTCGGTCATCATGCTCAGGCGTGAATGTAGGCATGATTCATTACATGAATGCATTCAGTCCAGGCCTTCAATAGCCTAGAGACAGAAGTTCCCTTGAATAACACCACTTTTGTGGACCAAATGAATTCGTTTACATATCTCTGACATGGAAAGACAAACTTGGCAAGACATAGCAATAAGCCTTGGATACAGTGAAAGAATTAGTCGTATCTCACCTGAATAGCAAGATCGTATTTCAACCCCTTCACTAGATAACAGAAGTTACATTTTTCTCCCTGTACTTCCCGGATTGACTAATGCATTCCATCGACAACGACAATGACAATAAACTGATACCCCCTGACTTCTTTCTTTATTGCTCAGTTTCACCACATAGGTTCTTATTCTGACTAGAGCCAACTTTATTTGTAGAACTGTGGATAATTGTGAGTTCTCATCATCACCACTTGTCTCACACACTGAACTATGATAAACAGATGCAGCAGCTGGCCGTGAAAATATACGATTCTTGTGAGAACCTATGAGAGAAAGCTGAGTTTATATATATATATATATATATATCATTGTCATTATAGATAGATTGCAGTAGTCAGCTTAGTTTTGTTTTGAACTGTCTGATACAGGTTTTGTGCTCCAAAGATGGTCTTCGTAGAGACAATGTTTCCTTATTTTTTTCCGTCCAAGTTCAAACCAGCTGCAATTTCCCTTCAGACCCCTGAGAAGAACTGCACATCCACCTTATCCTCTGTCGGAGTCATCAGTAGTGAGTGTATGCAAATCGAATGTGGGCTTGCTGAAACGTTAATGTTCAAGATTTTGTTGTACCGTTCTGGTTGTAATCGGTATTTCAACCTCACAACTGAAAAGTCATCCATTAGTCATCTTTCTTCAGTTTCAGTTGATAGAACCATTAAAACTGAGCTGTTTTGAGGTGATTTTGGTTAGAGTTTTCTGGTTGGCTATTTGAATGAAAAGTAGCAGGAAGAGCAGGATGTTGGGAGCAGGGTCAACATGAAACTAGGGAATTCAGATAGATTAAGGTTTCGAAGAGATGGAGAATATGCCTGAACGACACAACCATATATC